GGGGGGGGGGGGGGATATTGATTTTAAGAAATATTATGACCTGCTCTCACTTTCTTGCTCTATAATTGTAGCTATTTTAAGGGTAGAAATGTGGGAATGAATGTGTAAAATCTAATAGTATTTTATGCTATTAGGCTTCACACTGTTGGCATTAGACATGCCTGGCTCTGCCCCTCAAAACCTACAGCCCCACCCCATCCAGTCCATTATGCAAAGCTTCGGCTGGGATGAAATGCTCCACCCCCTGCTGGTAACCCACTATCTAAATCACCTGTTGCAAAATGGGTGAGTGTCTTTTCTCCATTTACTCTTTCTTCTGGTGCATAGTTGGACTGGTTTTACTGAGCTCAAAAATTCTCTCTCACAGAGAGCAGGTCAGTTGGGTCAGCTCTGGGCCAGGTTCAGGTTCGGCCCAGGCTTTATGTGTGCGTGCCTGGATCCGCTGTGTTCTACAACAGTACCTCCATAAAAGCCAAGATGCCCCAGATGCAAGAGCAGGTACAAAGAGCTCATCAAGTCATAGCGGACATGGTATGGCAAGTGGTTAAAGGGATAATTCACCTAAAAATGAAAATTCTGTCATCATTTACTCAACCTCGTGTAGTTCTAAAACTGTATGACTGGTTTTGGTTTTTGTAAAAACAACCTGATGTATTAAGAATTTTATTATTTTATTATTTACTCTTTTGTTAGTTTTGACTGCTTTTATTGTCCTCATTTGTAAGTCGCTTTGGATAAAAGCGTCTGCTAAATGACTAAATGTAAATGTAAGAATTTTACCAGTAAAACTGTCACTATCCTGCACTTTACACTTAAGTCCCTTTCAGGGAAATTCAGTTCACTTATAGGCCTTTTTTACGGTCTGCTATTTTGGTCATGCAAGACCACTGCAGTTCCAAGTTTATATAAGAACTAGAGCCTATAACAGCAGCTACAGTGACGTGATGATATTTACTAATTGTCAATTGGCTCAATTTTTTCTAGAAGGTGGGACTTAAACAACATTGTGTGTGTGGTTTTTTTTTTCCATTCGTAATAATGAGTAAACCATCTGTGTGGGATACATCCAGTCTTTTTTTTCCCAGTCGGTAATGGTTCTTTTAACATTTTATGACTTTTGGCAAACCAATGTAAAAGGTTAATTTATGCCACCTACTGGACTGGAGTGTTAAGTGCTCTGTGGTGCACAGGAGAGGAAAAAATCAGCCACCATGATTTTACTGTCAAAATTGCTTAGAGGGATAGTTCACCCAAAAATGAAAATTGTCATAAATTACTCACCCTCATGTCATTCCAAACCCGTAAGACCTTCGTTCATCTTTTGAACGTAAATTAAGATATTTTTGATGAAATCCGAGAGCTTTCTGACCCTGCATAAACAGCAATGCAACTGAAACGTTCCCAGGCCCAGAAACATAATAAGGACATAATTAAAATAGTCTATGTGACATCAGTGGTTCAACTGTAATTGAACCAGTGCCAGTTGCGTCGCTGTCTATGCAGGGTCAGAAAGCTCTCGGATTTCATCAAAAATATCTTAATGAACAAAGGTCTTATAGGTTTGGAATGACATGAGGGTAAGTAATTAATGACAAAATTTTCATTTCTGGATGAACTATCCCTTTATATATCAGGGAGTTATGCCCAAAAACCGACTGGAGCACAGCACTATATAAAGGGCTAAAGTGAGTCGCAATGTATTGCGATCAAATTCACTAATCTGGATATTCAATTAAGATTCAATCGTCTTAGAAGAAAAATATCTACAGAAGAAAAAAAGCCATACAGGTTTGGAACGACATGTGCATTAGTAAATTATGACTAAATTATGAATTTAAATTTGTTGTACGAATTATTCTTTCAACCCTAATTTGCTCACAAGTGATAGCGAATCGGTATTATTAAAATGATTTGGGTGTGTCAGAGAGAGCAGCTGTGGTATCGTGTGTACAGGCAGAAATCTGGATGAACAGCTGGCCGAGTTAACCAGACAGGTTCTCCGACTTCCAGAAGTGGAGTCCGTGCTGCAGAGAGCAGGCCTACATCCTGCTGCTGCCAAAGATCCCAAACCTGCAATGGCTGTGTTCATCAAGGTACATGCACTCAAACCAGAAGCTCTAGCATATAAGCCATAATGTATCTCCAACACTGTGTATTTGTAATTTACTAGGCTGTGGGTCGATCATACTGTGAGCTCCAGCTCCTCTCTGAGCGTTCTTCAGCGGTGTCCCGAGCACTGGAGTATGTAGGAGACATCCTCAAATATATCAAGCCTTACCTGCTAAACAAGAGCCGGGAGGGTCTACAGCTGGCATACTGGACTGTAGGTAGGTGATATTTGACACAGTGTACACTATCTTTTGTTGAATGTTGTTTTTCACTTGAAAATGCAAAAGGTAAAATGGGTTGCAAACAGCACTTTGTGTGTACTATAAGTTTATGGTGGTTTTGTACGTTTTTTCAGGCTGCTTGGTCAAGCACTGGAGCCACCTGTTGGCCACTTCTAAAGCTCAGCAACTGCTCTTCCGCATTGTAGATGTGCTGTTACTGTCCCACGCTCTTCTCCAACAGGACAGTGGAGCACACACTCAAATGCTGTCAGCCCTCAAAGAAAGCCTGCCTCTGTTCCTGCAGGTTAACGCACCTCCAAATCCAATACATACTCTGTATTCAGACTATTGAAACCTTTCCCTGTATCCTGAGGTCATTGTTGATGAAGTTCCCTGTCTTTGTCATAACTAAGATTGTCTTGGTATCTTCAGGGTTTGTCAGTGGCGGTGAGTGTGTCCCAATCTCAGGGGGCGTACCTAAAGCAGCAGCTGCACAGTGTCATTTCCCAGTACCTGAGCCGCTTTCTCCCATCCACACCCTCTACTGGAGCGGTGGTCAATCATCCTGTCCTGCTGGCAGCCTGCGAATCAACACCCACCCCGCAGGGGGAAAGACTCAGGAGGAGCATTCTGCATGTGCTGAGGTATGAGTCATGTGATTTCATATTTATATCTAAATGAACAGCAATAAAAAAAATCATATGTAGCTTCTTCATAGTCATGGGTATAAAAGGAGATGACCAACCTTTTAGGAATAACATTGTCTCTGCAGAGAGAACTTCCTCCAGTTTAAAGGTCTCGCTCCTCCCCCTCGACTCGCTGCTGTTCTCTCTTTCCTGTTGGAACTCCTGAAAAGGAACAATGACAGAGATCCTGCTTTACTCACAGTTCCACTTCCTTTGGTGATGCGCTGTCTGATGCTGGTCAACGAACCACAAGGTAGACAAGGATCATATAAAGGCCCATTCACACCAAGAACAATACTGCATTCTGTCACCTGCACCATGCCGTTTCAAGTCATTGGCTGTTAATGTTTTCATTGTTCATCAGCTGAAATCACTTTTCCAAACATATGATTCCTCTGTATGATACGATTCCTGTACCATTCAAAAGTTTGGGATCAGGATTTTTTAATGCTTTTGAAAGAGGTCTTAAAATAACTTTTATGTTTTAATACAAATCAAAAATGTCATTTATTCTTGTGGTGGAATCAGTGTATCATTCGATCATTCGTTTTTTGATTTAATATTGAAAGTAGAAAAATTAGAAAATGGCTCCTTTTTCGTTTTTTTCCAAAAGACAAAAAACAAGAATTCAGCTTAAATTTTCGTTTTTCGTTCAGGGGTAGAAAAATGAATAAACAGCTTGAATATTCGATTTCTACACATGGGCGGGAATTAAACACCCCTTTCTGCTGATTGGTCAGCCGAAGATCAAACCTGCCTTCATCAGTTCTTCCACAGTATCACGCAGCAGAATAATAGTCCTCTGCTGCTGCAGTTGTATTGATTCTTAACACATTTATTGCAACTACATTTCATCTTTTTTCATCAAACAAACAGGCTAATGAATAGCGCGACACAACTCATACCGGGGCAGAGTCTAGACAGGGCTTTCTTCTGTGTAGATATAAATTCTATTCTTTGCATCAGCTGGGCATGGCAGGTATGATATGACAGCTGTCATAGTCTACCCTTCTCACCCAGCAAGTCTGTTTGTTTGTTTAATTCATGCGCTGCTTTAGCACGTCTTGGTCTCCTTGAGCATCTTTCTGGCGCATGCCACAAACGTGAACCACAGCGAATACTTTTAAAAGGCTTCATTTAGATTATTTGACGTTAAATGCCTCATATAAGTCACTTTGGAATAAATCACAGTAGGCCTATGTATCATGATTAAAAAAAGCGACTTAACAGTCTGGAAATGCTTTTGGCTATAGCAAATTATTTCTCGGACCCCCTATTACTTTAAGAACCGCTGGTCTACACAGAAGAAAGACCTGTCTAGACTCTGCCCCGGTACGAGTTGTGTCGAGCTATTC